AAAATTAAGTGCATTACAAAGTTGTATTGAGGAAGAATAAACAAGTTTTATAAAGAAAGGCCATGTATCTTAGACGAACTAATAAACAAACATACAGAGACGTAACAAACTGGTGTCAGAAGTGGGATACAAAAAAAAAATAGAAATGAGAAGCGGCAAATCAAACTACAGCTTAGCAGATTTGATGGCAGCAATACAAGAACAGCAAAAGAAACAAGAAGAACGAGAAAAGAAACAAGAAGAGAGACTACAGCAGTGGTTGGAGGAGAAAGAAAATAAACAAGAAGAGAGACTACAGCAGTGGTTGGAGGAGAAAGAAAATAAACAAGAAGAGAGACTACAGCAGTGATTGGAGGAGAAAGAAAATAAATTACATTAGTTGTTGGAGGAGAAAGAAAATAAACAAGAAGAGAGACTACAGCAGTGGTTGGAGGAAAAAGAAAAGAAACAAGAAGAGAGACTACAGCAGTGGCAACTGGAACAAGAAAAGAAACAAGAAGTACAAACGGAAAACATTAGTAAATTTAAAAGCGAATTAGATACGTTAAAGGACGAATTATTGTCTTTCACACAAGGAGGATACATTAACCATCGACTTAACCAGCCCCTGCAGCTAAACCCTAATTCTAATAACACAATCTAGAAAAATAATTAATCTTATCAATTGTGTTTTAGAGTAATCGAACCAGCATGTGCTGACATCGATGATACAGAGACAATTATTTAAATCTCTGAATACAACTGTGGTAGCCAACAGTTATAGTAGTGATTTTAACTCATTTACTGTGACTACTCTAAACGTGCGCGGAATTTTTGCAAGCTGTACACCATATATATACGGCATACTCTCATTCAACTGCCGGAGGCAGACCATACCCTATACAGCGAATCAGCAGTCAATGTGTTAAAGTGAAATTATCACTGACTGTATTGTAATAACAGAACAGGAAGAATAATTGTGTTCTAAAGCAACTGAACCAACCTGTGTGTACTTTGACGAAAAAGAGACTATTATTTAAAGCTCTAGATACAGCTGTGATAACTAACAGTGTAACAAACATTTGTATATACGTTTGACTTGTTTTATTATATTATTTTAAAACAAGTGGACTGTTTACTATTTGTTTATTGTTGAACTTTATTGCCAACAAGTCACAGACACTTACTGTAAAGAATCTGGCTCATAACTAAAACCTGACACGTTATTTTAGATGAAGTTTTTACCAAATAATCAAGCAATTGTGTTGCAACTGTAAACAGACGATTCAATGACTACACGTGTGACACCTGCCATGAAAAACTAACCACTGTTTATGTGAGAAGTAGTGCAGTTGGATGAAGCATCTCCTTTGCTTGAGGTAATTAGAAGGTTGTTTTTTGCCTTTGTTTGTTTGTTTTGTTTTTAATTATGCACAAAGCTACACAAGGGCTATCTGTGCTCTGCCCACCACGGGTATCGAAACCCGGTTTTTAGCGTTGTAAGTCCGTAGACATACTGCTGTGCCACTGGGGGGTGTTTTTTTTTTTGCCTTTTATAATGTAACTCAAATAGGCAGTTAGTATTTATTCACTAAACCTACATTTTCTCTCAATATTATGGTATTCAGGCATACCATGTGTTTCTTACCCCCTTAGCTAATTTTAAAAAAATCAAAATTTCTCTACTATTATGCATGTATTCTTAATATTGAATGTCAGTAAATGTGTCACTAAGTTTCTTTCACCTCAGTTACTATCAGAACTCAGTAAATCAAATTTGATGTCACATGCACTTTCTCACAGGAAAGATTGCTGTAAAGTAGAGCATACTGTACTGAAATATAAAGTGATAATTTCCACTGGTAAGTCAGGTGATACCCAAAGGATAGAATATCCCTTACACTGAAGTGAGTTGATAGTCGGTCGTGGTTGCACATGCAACCTGAGAAGTGGCATTATGTTTTTCGTATATAATGCTATATATGCTCAGACTGGACCAAAAAAGATTTTTAACAGATACATATAAATTTCAATAATTTGTTTTATGGCAAAGCTACTAAGGTTATCTGCCACCATACTTTATTTTTAATTGCTGGCCAGGTGGAAGACAACTGGCTGGCTGCATCTACCACTAACTCATAGGCTGTTCTTTTACTGAATAGTGAGATTGATCATTACATCATAATGTTTCCACAGCTCAAGGGATGAGTATCCTTGGCACTGAGTTTCAATCCCACAGATTTGGAGTTAAGCACCCTAACCCCAGGTCGTTATTTCTACAGATACACTTGATTTAGACAACCATGCACTAAAAGTGCCACATAATAAAAGTTTGTTCGGAACTAAGCACAAAGCTATACAATGGGCTATCTGTACTCTGCCTATCACGGGTATCGAAACCCGGTTTCTAGCATTGTGAGTCTGCAGACATACCGCTGTGCTACTGTGGGGCCATAATACACATATATTTTAACTTTGTTTTTTACATAAAATAAAGTGTTCCACTGTCAATTTTTTCTACAAACTCAATCGAGGATGAATAATTCATATTTTTACTCAGTAATACATTTTTTGACGAGCCTATTTATTGTTCTGCAGTTCCTACTCAATTATCCCTAGAGAAATCAGTGAACCTTAGAATACCACGATGATAATGGGAAGAATTGATGATCTCTCATTTTTTATTGTTGAGTTTATCCTCTAGATTCAAGATTTTTCAAAATATAAGCAAAATTATGTTAATTCTATGTCTCTAATAAAATATTGTGAGGAAATTACCAAACATGATGTGCAGCTAAGTTTATATGCTCCGAAACTAAAAAGCTGGCAAACAGTTATTTTAAATAACACTTCAAGAGGCATAATCCAAAAATTAAAGGTTTCAAAATATAACCAATTTTTGGTTATGAAGAAATTATTGTCAGTGTCGATTACATCAGGAGTTCCTAAGTTCATGACTCACTCAGCTGAATAACCAGACAATTTTCTTGGACTCATGCTCAAGTGAAGAAGAGTTACTATTTTAGTATGTTTCAGTGAAAATAGTTTGTTTTATCCTGTAACCCACACTGTTACTTCTTGAAACTCACTGCTGGGTCATGAACCACATTTTAGGAAATGGTGAATTATATAATGCATCATTATGTTTTAATCCCCCATTTCTAATATTGAATTGTTTTTATATGCAGTATATTAAAAATGGAAAAATTCAAAGCGTGTGATTTGCATAAAAATAGTGTGACTTGCTGAATGAAGGAGCTCAATTACTGTACATACATTTATTATACATTTTAAAATTTAATAATTAAGTAACTATGGAAATACAACCATGCAGTTTTCAACATCTTGTAGTCCAACTCATACAGTTTTTATTGTCATTTTATTTTTTTCACTTCAGTAAGAAGTGTTATCCCATAAAATGGCAATTGTGTAAGAAAAGGCTTAATGCATCATTCGACTAGCAGATAAGGCACTGGCTGTGGTGCATCAAACTACAGACATCAGTACAGGAAAGAAGTACTGGGATATGTTAAGAATATCGTGTATCATACTCTTGTAGCAAATATCACAGTGCAAAAGACTAGGATAATGAATGCAATTATCACTGTAACTGTGGGCATGCTGCAACAAAGATGGACTGAAATTGAATACTAGTTAGACATACTGAGAGCTATTAATGTCACACATGTAGAAGTCTACTGACACATCATTAAAAACTGTTTGAGTTGAGGTACATAATGTTGAAAACTGCTTAATTATTAAATTTTAAAACATGAAAGATAATTCTGGGCTACCCTGTATAATATTAACATTATATTACCATCCACAGTAATAATAGCTTTCTTTGAATGCTAAAACCTTGGTTTAAAAATCTGTATATCTCTTAACTAAATTGTAAAATTATGACATAGTGATGCTAAATTTGGTATGCTTCTTTTTACTTAAAAAAGCAAAAAATAAACACGTCTATAGTGTTCTGAACAATGTGCTAAATAAAAAATCCCCAAAACAATAAAAACTATTACATGGCAGCAGAATATATTATTCATATACATTAGGTAAAGATGTGTTTTAAGGAGGTTTAACATAAATGTTAGACTTAAAAACACATGCTTGCTAAGAACTTAACATTTGGTGATAAAATGTGAAAAATGATCAGTTATTTGTATTACAAAAAAGTGTTAGTCATGAATTTAAGTTCAATTCAGGCAAACTTGGAATACATTTTACAAATTCACAAGCATGGTTGTTTCCATGCAAAAAAGTACTCAAAATATAAAAAAACTGAAAACAACAACTGAATAATCAGAAACCATTTATTCCCACATTGAATGGTACATAACAAGTACATCGTTGCTGTCACCAACATAAGAAATTTGAACACTTTACCCTTGAAAATAAAACTATCTTAACTTGTTTTTGACCAAGTTTTAGTTTTTTTTTAGAAAGTTTCAGCTAGTTCTACTGAAATCCAAATGATGTATTTGAAACTTTTTCCACGTATTCCTTAGTAGTTAAAATTAATGTTTTAATAATAAAATCTTTTTTTTTTCTTACTGTATCATCTGTAACCAAATATGAAACACAAGCTTCCATAATAACCATGTTTTGTTTGTTTATGATTAAATTTCTGAGAATTCAACTTCACATGCTTTTAATGCATTAAGAACTGTAACCAACGGTAGTCTGGCAGACTTTGAGGCTATAATCAATACCTTATAAGAAATTTAACCATAATAAGCATATGGCCTATCAGGCATTTTTGGCTCGAATTGCTGCTCGTTTTCCTGTGACAGCCTGGAAACCTGATTTGATGCTGGCTACCGAACACCTAGATCCACAAGTTTCACACTGCAAGAAAAACAACCTAGTGTCCTTCTGTAGGATAGTATCTGGAGACCGACAGGTATGGCAAGTGACATACTCCTCTGTAAAATGGGGAAAGCAATTACTAAACACTTATAATGAAATGAAGCTAGATAATACAAACAATAAACACACAAGAAAAACTGATGAAATACATTATTTTGACGCAAATAAAAGCAAATTTCAACAGATATTTTTGATACCAGCAATATATTCGTTTTGTGGCTTTTTATTTCTGATTTTACTTGATATCCATTTCACCAAAGAAAAAATTTCAAATTTTATAACAGTCCAATAAATCAGATAACTGATATGAAACTCTGAAAGTCCATTAATTCTTTAAAGGCTGTACTTGTATTTTCCATTTTTATATATTCTCTGAAACTACTAACTCAAAAACAAGTGACAAATCAAATGATAGAATGAGGTTAGCATTTCTTTCTTGCCAAAAAACATAATTTTGGTGATGAGAGAAGAAAATGTATTATCTGAAATAGCTTGTTCTCTGAATAACTTAAACGAATAAATTAGAAGTATTAATACTGATAAACTGTTAACTGAGAGACAAAAAACATAAAATAGTTTATCTCCCAAGCTCAGGATATGAGCAAATGTTAAGGAGATGGGAAATGAAGGTGTCATTGGAGAATTACACACGACAGACATGCTGAAAGTGTAGATGTGTCCAGCAGAACCATGTTTCAAACCTTGGGTGTTTTGATCCAAAGCCTCATATACTAAATACCAGACAATGTCAGCAAAATGTTAAAAGTGAATTTTTAAACATGTTTCTTGAGATTGTTGAATTAATTTTATTCTGTAGTAATATGACATCCTTATTTATCCATTTAAAAATATGTTGATGTGGATATCATGCTTAAGGTACTCAGCAAATAATTTAGCACTTTTGTTTATTACTTTTATAATTTTATTCGGTGAGACGAGAAGATAAGCTAGAAAAATTATGATGTTGTGTACATGTTCATTTACTAGAAAACTTCATCATATACATTTTAAACAAAAGTAAAACAAACAATTGACAAGCATGGATCAATGTGACACAATATTCTTTCATTTTCCTGTGAAACATTCTATAATAGAAAAGTGAAAATACTATAAGTAAGTATTTGAGCTGAAAAAACAAAACTTACTGATATATCTTCTTAAAACATTTTCAATTTGTTTCTGTTGAAATCTACCCTTGATGATCAGTTGACTATTTGCATCCACTGAACCACTGATTAACAAAAACAGAATTTACTTCCAAGTTATCAAAAACCAAAAATCCTGTTACTTTTCAGAAATATATGTCACTTAAAATAATGAAAAATAAATTTCTAGATAATGATATAATAAAAAAGTTTATATTTTAAAATTAATTTTCAATCTTCATAAACCTGTATTTCCTTATTATTATTCTTAACCAATAACTGGATTTTTCATGTTTACTTTCTATTACTGATCTGATTTATCCCAAAATGTCCAGGATCTTATTAAAAGTTTTAAGGTAAGAAAATATTTGAGACTTACTGATGCAAATTTTCAATAGTAAAAAGCTGAAGATCACACGTACATAGACAAAAAACCCTTTTACATGCTGTATTAGTAATAAAGTAATTCCAGAGAAAATATCTAATAACTTTGTTTCATACTATTAGTTTTACATCTTTTTACTATTCTAAGTATTCAAGCTGTAAAGCTGTTTCAGACATGAAATATCACATTGAGAACACGTAAAATATGATGGATGAATTAATATACAATTTCTTTAAATTAAAACAAATCCATATTGTTTTGGGTATAGATAACATTTACATCATGCTGATACTACAGTTATAATGAATATATAGTTTTGATACAAGTTTACTTACTGATTATAAGTGTTATTTTGTTACAAGTTATAGCATTTACAGTAAGAAAGACATTTTTGAAACAGGTACAACATTTTAATTACTGGTGTGATCATCAGATTGTTGAATGTTGAGTTAAGTACTAAAACCTTCTTTAGCATTAAAACTTGTGGACTTGAGAATGATTACACCAGTGACTGATATGTCTTACCCATTTTAAAAATTTATTCCTTACTGTAAAAGCTGTAACTTGTAATAAAATAAGTTATTATGAATGTCTTCCAAATATCATGGAAAATCAACACTTTCCAGACTGATGAGCAACTTTCACACCTACATATCAAATTTCAAAATTTAATTGAAAATAATAATTAATTATTTCCACAATTTCTTACTCAAAAATATTTTAGAACTGATATGTTTTTTGTAACATTTATTTAGTGTAATGCCCAAAGAAAAATGTTCAAACTTATATTTCTGCACAGCTGAAAGGAGTCTCAATTGTAAACAAACTTATCAATTTGTTTTTTTAAGACTTTTTCTGTATATCCCAAAACACTGATTATTATTTGTTAAGAAACTATCACTCTTTGAGAACATAATTAACATAGTCTTGTTTCTCTTATTTTCCTTCCCCTCCTCTTGAGGATTTATTAGTATAAGCTTCTGTTCACATCACAAATTGCAAGATTATAAAAATATGGGAACAATTATTAATGATGAAAACTTTGAAAATAACTATAGATAAACTTTAAATACCATTGGATAGAGAAAATTATAAAGTATTTACATCAATGTAGAGTGAATAAAGTGGTGTTAGCAGTAATTTATGGCTTTGTGAAAAACAATGGATTTAGCGTGAGGTATAAAAGACTTGAGAACAAATCACAGATCTCAGAATTTTTTCACAGCTTCGAGATATTTTCATTCCTGAAAATGATTTTGTGTTAAGTTTTATATGTCTAAAATATATTGTAATTTTCTTCTATGATAAGGCTTAGAGGTTTAGAAAGTATGGTAACAATAGTAAAATATTCTGGTGATTCAAAACTTTATTTATTGAATATTACTTTATCATATTCAAACAACATACATAAACATTTGCTGAAAACAAAATATATTTATTAGATTGAAACTGATATGACAGAATATTATCAAAATTCTGTTTTCTAGCCTGACCTGAAATTATTATCAAATGTAAAGTCTTAGGTTGCTAATAAACCTTTGTCAACTTATTCAGTCTTTTTTACAATTTATAGCTAAAAATGGTGACTAATTCATTCAGCAAAATAGTTTAAAAAGAAATACGTTGACAAAAATCAGTAAATCTGATTTTGATGGGGTATATAAATTGGAACTTTCTAATCAACAACAAAAACTGAAATTTTAAGATGAAAAGGAAGTACTTTGAAAGTGTTTAAAAGAATTTCCTCAATTTTTTTGAAGTTTATGGAAATTTCGAGATATAACAAAATTATAGAAAAACTAAATGATATTAGATGAATTATTTTAAGCTGAAACTAGGTAGTAGTCAGAATTTTGTCCCACATTTCATGCAATTTCATATTTCCACTGTGAAAAGGAAAAAGTTGTGCATGGTCCAGAAATGGTTAAATAAATTATTCTTTTAATATTTTTTGTTATTTTGAAACAGTAAAATTCAACATTAACAAATTTGTTATAAGAAGAAAATATATAATCAAGAAATCTGGTTAATACGAAAGTCATTATTGCAAAAATATATGCTTATACACAATTTTTCTAAAATTACGTGATCACAATAGTGTAAGTCACTCATGATCAATGACATTACACCACACAATGAAGCACCCTAACAAGGGTTTGTACACTTAAGACAAGAACAATAATGATACCAAGAATACCAAAATAATAGACATTAAACTGATCAAACACTAAATAATACAAACCGTATAATCAAAACAATATTACTCAATTAACCCTTTACAGACTGGAGGATATAATTATTGACATTCCCTGTTTATTTTCCTTCCTCATAGTATAACTTCTTAACCTAATTGTGTGAAACTCAGTAAAACCTTTCTAACTAGTATCTCGCAACAATTCTATTAAATACCAATCAGACTGTTTTAAAAGCTAGATGACTAGCACACACGAATGCCATTGTTAGTCTGCCTGATTGCCAAACCTCTGGGAGGGTGAGCTATTTTAGCACATGTATCATATCGGTTTTAATTTCAAAAAAAATATTTATAAAAGTCTCTTAGTTCTTCTGTATCATGACTCATCTGAGCTACATTTTCGAGTTTTCTAACATTAAAAATACTGCTGCCATTTCCAACCAATTGGAAACACAAGTTATATGTAATTACAAGTAAGAATCCAACTTGGAACCTCCCACCTTTTTGACTTGCCAAGATATCAATCCATTTGTCAAACCCACCAGAGAAGCCCCTCCTCTCTCTGATTTTTGAGATTATTTGCTAGCCAACTTTGGATGGATGATAGACATGTTTATAATCAGTTGAGAGAGCAGATTTTTTCCTCATACATCTTACAAGTTGTTGTTTAGCTTTCTCATTGTAAACCATTAGTTATCAGAGTTGCTTGATATGTAGTGATCATATACTGGTAACCCAAATGGTAAAAAAAAGTTTTTTGGGGTATTTATTGAAAATATCAATACATTTTTTGTGTTCAAAAATGTATATTTGAAAGCTACTTGAAATCTTTTCCAGTGAATCAAATCTGTGAGACTCAAAAAAGACTTATGGAAGAATATCTAAAATTTTTATTTGAGTGCAAAAAGAGCTCAAGTATATAGAAAGAACTACAAAT